GATTTCGGGCGATTTCATTGGCTGATCGACCCCGGGCGCGCTCGGCGCTCGGCCGCTCGGAGCCGAAGCGATGAGACTCGCTCGGCTACTGGCAACCCTGCTCTGCTCGGTCCAGGCTCCCTATCGCTCATCTCATCCTCCCTCACTACAGTACTCCCTACTCCATTCCTTGTCTCGTTGTGGTCGCGGCAGTTCGTTCTCCTACGCCCACCCTCTCCTACGTCTGATCTCACCGTGTTTCTCTGTCGTATTGTCGCACTGGAAGCTGTTAATAGTCGAAAGCTATTACTACTCGTATTGTCGCTGATTGATTTGCGTTCCGTCTCGTTCCAAATGGCTCAGCCTGTGGTAAGTATATGTCTCTTCTGTGGCCTGATCGTAGCTGTTTGCCTTCTGCTCCGCGTCCATGTACAGGTTAGGTTTTCTTGTATCACCTACACACGACTGCTTCTTTGTTTAGAATGATTTTGGATTGTTCTGTGGAGCAACAGCCACCAACGCGGCCAATCTGCATCAACTCATGGTGTCTACTCCAACGCGCCGTAGCTTCGTGGCTGGTTACGAGGGCATGTCTGAGGGCCTCGACCGCGTTGCGCTTGGCGTGGACTGTGACCTGGTGCATGGCAACATCCTCATCGGCGATGCGTGAGTTCCGTTCGTTCGCCATCCTCCTGGTTCTCTGTGTATTCCTTGCTAACGGTGCGATATTTCTTGTATTCCAGTGGGGCTGCTCAAAATGTTGCCTACCTGAATAGGTTGGGTGTAACACACGTCCTGAATATGGCCGAAGGTAATGGTCCAGGAATGGTGCCGACAAGTGCATTAACTTATGCTGGTACTGGCATCTCCTATTGCGGGTTTCCTGCTCTGGATCAGCCTGCGTTTGACATCGCCCACTATTTTGGACAGGCTGTCACATTTATGGACAGTTGTGAGGCAAACGGTAAGTTTTTATTATTAAGTTGTCTCAGTTTGTTATTTTTCTCCGTCCCTCATGTGTGTTTTCTTTTCAAGGCAAAATACTTGTTCACTGCCTGAGAGGGCGGTCTCGTTCTCCTGCTGTTGTCCTGGCTTACTTGATGATCAGGCGCACTGTTCCAGCCCCCATGGCCATGAAGCTCTGTTGTTCTGCCAGAGCATTTCATATCAATGCTGGCTTTCTTGAGCAACTTTCAGAGTTACACAACTCTTTGTGTGTTGCTGCCAACACTTAATTAATCTTGTTTTATCTCAGTTTGTGTAAGTTCACTTGTATACGGTTTGGTATTGTCTTTTGAAAAGAAACTTGTGTGGCTTTGTGATGCTTATGTTGCATGATATTTTAGTCCAATCTATTTCATTT